ACAGCTTCTAATAAATTCTAAGAATTCCCACCCCTGAACTTCAGTCATTGTCTTATCTGATAAAAATTAATATCATATTTATCAGTCATAAGCTTCGTCTCTAGAGTCATCGAGACTTTCCGACAATATTTATGGAAATAAATAATCATGTTAAAAAGCAGCACAAACATGAAGTTCCGTTTTGTTTGATATTTTTATACTTTACGGACGCGTATGTGTTTGTGTGTTTTATCAATAAAGGTATTACCTATTGAGCTATAAATCTGTCTCGAATATTATTACCATTCTAAAAAAAACTTTTGCATTTCAATTTGAATCGATATGAATATTAATAAAAGCCATAAAAGAATATTGACTAGGTAATGAAGAATTAATTCAATTTTCTGCCCAAAAACTAAACGAAACGTAATAAGTAAAAAAATTATTATTTTTTCATTTTCATTTCTCTCTCAACACTTAGAAACAACTATTAGATATAGAAAAATTATTCTTGTAGTTTTATTGCACGTTTAACAACAGTGAAAAAATTAACGAGGATTATTCATCGATAAGAGATTAAGTTTTATTTTTTTTTGTTCTTTAAACTACGTCAAACTGATATGCAAATGGCGCTAAATATTCTCTTTTTTTTATTTCAAGGATTTATTTGAGGTGATAATTCTTTGACATTTGATTGGAATTAATGATGATCATACTTAACTTACACTTGAAATTTGATCTGCTCAGTTTTCAACCTTTAAGTTGGTCAATTTAAATTTAACATTTCAGAAATACAGTCAAGATCATCAATAAAGATTGAATTAATTCTATAAACAATATCATTAAAAATTGGAAAAGAATTTTGCATCCTCATTCATTTTTAAAGATTTTGATAAATAAGAAACAAATTTTGCTTATATGATTTTATTTATTGACTGTACAAGCTAAGACATCTTTGACTGACGTTCTTAGAAGAACAGTTGATGACTTTGCATTGCAACAAAAGCTCTTCCAAGAGCTTATTTCAATTAATGTCCATGATAATCTTCAGATTAATTTATTTTGGTATTATTACTCATGATTTAATATAATCTTAGGATTAATATATGAGCTTTTTGTTAATCTGAAGATCAAAATCCAAATTATTAGATTATCTCAAAATTAAAGATGTAGCTCAAGTCTATTTATTAATTGCTTAATGTTACGAATAAATGAGACTTTAATTATTGATTCCAAATGATATACTTTGGATGGTCAAGGTTATAATTTTAAATTCATCAAAATTAGTTTTGATAAGGATTTCTGTGAAATCTTTAAGAATTTTAGGATACTTCATATGCTTTTCTGAATTCTAGATGCCAAATATTTCTCGGAAATTGGGAAAGAAATCCCATTCCGTTTACAAGAGTCTATATAATAAATTACATACTTTAATAAGCGAAAGTTTAAGTATATTAAGATCAATTTCAATTAAATGTCCTCAAAAGAACCACCACCTTCTTGAATAGTTTCATCTCTCCATTTTTCTATTCTTAAACTTCCACACGTATCTCGGAAGTATTTAAATATAAAATGTGCAATCTTACGCCTCAATTTTTTATTATTATAAATATTATTTATTATTACTCCATTTATGTATTCAATTTTGTCTTATAAACGATTTATAGTAAAAAACGAGATATCTTTACGCGTTTATGCCGAATTGTAATCAAATTTTTTTTGTTTTGTTTATCTTTTGAATATTATTAAATATCAAATTTAGATTTTTTTCATTAAACTTTATATCATCAAAAAAGTGTCTCCTGTAATAATTATTATTAATTCATTATCCTCAGTTTATCATTTTAATAATATATTTTTCAAAATACATTCAATACATCTTTTGTGTGTGTGTCTGTGTCGGTGTGTAGGTTTTTTTATAAATTTAAATTTCATCTGTCCTATCGTATCATATTATCGTAATTATTATTAAAAATATTGGGATGATTTACGTGGGAAGAAACTTTTTCCCAAGAATTATTTAAAATTTATTTTGTTTTGTATCTTTTTTTTTTAAATTCTAAACTACACTTAGAAAAAATTGAAATTCTCGAACATTTAATGATGTCTAAAAATGTCAATTTTCACAATAAGCAGCTCAGTATGTCTATTTGGTACTTTTCTTCCCATTCTATTGTGTCATTTATATTAAGAAATGAGAGAGAGAAGTAAAAAGTAATAAAATGAGGAACTGAATATTGACATGACATTTAATCCGATTTCCATTTGCCAATTATAATAATAGAAAAGGAAATATATTCACGAGAGCTTCTTTTTTTGTTGTTTTTTTTAGAGACTATGAGCGTACACACATTGGTTCTCAAAAGCTTCTATAAACAAGAATAAATCACTTGACATTCATGTCTTTATTTATCGAAATGAAAGCTCTCATTTTAATTTACAACACACTTCTTACGAAAGAATTATTCGTATAGCTTGCCAAGTAGTTTGTTTTTATGTAAATTTCATTACATATGTTGAATTTATGTGAGGATATGTAGAAATAAATCTCGCAATGGAATGGAATTTTTCCAGCAAATTTTAACAAGGTTCAAGGCTTAGACTTTTTAACAATGCGTTGACTTGCCAAATTGGATATTCCTGCTGTTCCTTTTTTTATTTAAAAATCGATTTTTGATGTAAATTGAATTACAAGAAATTCAATTTAATTTAAGCTTCGATAAAAAATTTCTAAATCCTCAAAAATAATTTAATAATATTCCTGGAAAATTAAATATTGGATTATGGACTTAAAAATCCTTACTTTTTTATCTAAAGCTTTTGTATAATTCACGATAATCGAATTTAATGCTAACTCCATATGATGCTCATAGGATATCAAAAATGTTTAGCATGAATGTACATTAAATATAAGAAGATATGTATATTGCGATAATATCAGCTAAAGTTAAATTATTCAAAAGCTTACAATTTTAATAGCATACAAAGAAACGCTTTAAAATACTCCAACGTGCAAGAATGTGAAGGTATTTCATGTGTCAAGAATGAGTCTTTGGTCTAAGATAGCTTCTTTTTTATGTTGATTGACGGCATTATGAATAAATCATGTGACAGCAGAAATGAGCTTGTATAGCTTTAAACAAAATGAAGAAGACAAAAATTAGCTTTCTATGTTGTGCACCTCGTGGGAAGCCTTTTGTGACATTGGACAGAAAGGTACAATATGCCAACAACATTCTGTGTGTCCGCTTGCGAATTTAATTTTATTCCGAGAAATAAGCTGAATGCTTCGACATCGTACACAAATAAAATGCAAAAAAAGCTTAAAAATGTTCTTCTTTTTTTATTTTCGTAGATGAAAAGCAAAACTTTTATGGCAGCCCTCGAATAATCCTTTCCATAGCACGTTCCTATTTATATGTTTACCTTCATCGTCATCACCTGAGATAAACTTATAGAATTTTTTCGATTAATTTAAAAATTTTAATCCGATTTTCCTCTACATTTCAATCAAACTCTCTTATTGCGACCAATTCTACCAGCTGGTGGGGTTTTCAGTTTTATTTGTATTCATTTGTTTTTGTGAGATTGATAATGATGAAGCTATACTTTTTCGAAAAAAACTAGTATAAAAGACACCTCATTTTCTCGGGTGACTAAAATTCTTTTCCCTCTTAACAAAATCAGTAATTTAGTTCCATAATGTGATTGTTTCAACTATTTACGGCATGAGAAATCATGCAAAATAAGTCTCAACTTCTTCTCATGAATTTCATTTTTGTGTAAGAAATTGTTTTTGAAGTTAAATAGATAGAAATAAAAGACCTCCTATGCTGTCATCCCTCTTTTGAAATATCGATTTTGCCATAAAATAAGTCGTCATATTTCTTAAAGAAGGATGCTCCCAAAGGAGTTCTGAATCTCTTTTCTTAGAAACTCATTCAAATAATATTTGAATAAATTATGTCTCGTGTGAAGGCATGCAGTTTTGGATTATTATGAGCTGAAAAGGAGTTCTGTAATATTTTTGGGGGGAATTTTATTTTTTAAAATCAGACCTATGGTTCTCAAGTTATGCTGAAAATTACAGCTGTAATTTGAACCCGATCTAATCGAATGCTTATTAAAAATGAAGATTGCAATTGTTTTGACATTATTTGATCGATTAATCGAAATTTAACAAACTTAATCAAAGTTAAAATTGAAAAGTTCGAAATAAATTGAAATCAGCAAAGATCAAGTCTTCAAATTAAAATCTATTCAAATGCTTTATGCTTGAGTTAAGCCTCAATTCAGCCTAAATTCTGTCACTTCATCAATAAATTAGAATTTTGATGATTTCGGTGAAATTCTTAAATTTCAAAAAGAATCAGCTAATTTTTTAACAAATTTATTCCACAAGCAGAAAGAACTTAATCACTCAGAAATTTACTTCCAAAAATTAAGCTTACGAATCAGTATTCAAGGTTGTTGAGAAGAATTTATTAAAAATCAAACCTTAATAATTACAGAACGATAAAACTTTTCTTCTTTACTTGCTATAAAAATGGCAGTAAAAGTTCATGAGAAAATCCAATCACGAGAAAGTGTGTGCAAAAGGAACAACAAAGCGAATTCGTTTCGAGGGAAAAGTTACGGTAAAATGTTCATCATTATTCTTCATATAATATATTAAATATTAATAAATTTTTTGTTTTTCATCTTGTCGTAATTAAATCTAAGCAATTTCTAATAGAAAAATCGAATTTTTTTGTTCTTTTCTCTCACATTTTTTGGAAATTTTTATATATAAAATTTTTTTTATGAAATTTCATTTCTTCTTTATCTCCTTTAATATTAAAGCGATTAATTCGAGGCGTAATGAAGCATTTTATAAATGTTAGCACGAAATTCATAACGCCATCCAGATTTTTAATGAACGAATTACAATTTGTAATATAGTTTTTTTTTGTATTTTTTCATCATTGCATCTCACTAATGTAATCAAAAATATTTTTTTTTGTCATTTTTGTTTTAAAATACTTTTTTATTATTTTTTATTTTCATTTTATTTATATCAAAAATAGAAAAAATGGTTAAATTTGTTGATTCATTTACGCTACGATCATCATATCTCATCATCATCATCTTTTTTTTTTGTTGTTGTAAGATTATACTATAAATATACTTTTTTTTTGAAAATTTACTTCTTCTTGTCATCGCAATGAAGATTTTTTTTGAATTTTTTTTTGTTAAATTTTCTAAAAACTTTTTTTAAATAGAAAGAATTTTTTTTCATGAATATAATTCTCAATCTTATTTTTCTATGAAACTTTGTTTGACATTTAAAAAAAACTTTTTTTCTTTTCTGAATATGCTTGCAATGGTAAATTTAATCTTTTACTATGTTTTTCATGTGGATATTAGCAATTTATGGAAAAAAATTTAACATCATAGGAAGGAATGAAGGATATTTATTTCTCGTTGAAAGGGAATGCTTGTAGGTTGGACAGAGTTGCTGTGAAAGTTTATCTATTTTTGGAGTGTTTCTATGGGAAAATTTAAGCTTTTTTGTGAAGATTCATCGTAAGAAGATTACAATTTTTGTTGTGTTTGCAAAATTTTATAATTTTAAGCATTAAGTTGCTGTAGTTTTACACAAAACATTAACTATCTTATTTTCAATGCAAGACCTAGTCCTGTGTTTATTTCTCCAAGTTTATTCTTCACAAGTTAAAATTGAAAAATTGCAATCCCGATCGATTTCATTTGGGGAAGTATAGTTCTGCAGTCAATGCTGTTTGGACTGGTCTGGACATAAAATAATTAACTTCAATCATTTTTTAAAGGACAATGGTTTAGTTCCTGAATGTCAATCATTCTTATAGCTTTGTGTTTAGTTTTGTAGAGGACTTTCACATCAAATCATCGCTACATTGAAGTATGGAGAATCACTGATCAAAAAAGGCTTATTACAAAGATTTGCCTGGACAGACAGGATCCTCGCCACTCAAACATCTCAAAAGGCAAATTGAACAGTATAAAAACTAAAGTGAACCGAATAAAAGCTTCCAAAAGTTTATGCAAATGCTCAGTTTACTTTAATTTGCAAAAACACTGAAATTGACCTTTGAAGATTTCAAGTTCAATGTCAATCTTTTTGCAGTCGACAGATAAATCCAACAAATAAACAGTTTAAAACCCTGAAATTTATTTTAAGAAGCAAAATCGGATTAACTTTAATTCCCTTAAGTAGACTGCATGACTTGTTCAAATAACAATTCTGATTTTATTAATGCATTGTGTGGGAATAGATATCAACAAAACTCTTCAAATGCTTGACCAAATCATGAGGCTTGAGACATATATCTGTAAGCAACCTACGACAGAATCTTCATGATAAAAGTTCTCAAAATATCCTTCAAATTTTTTCTTTCTAGCAACTCTATGCACGTGGGCAGGAGAGAAATTTTATTCCTCTATTCTAGGACATTGTGTATGTGTATTACAGCTATTGGGAGCTGAAACTCATTTTATGGCATTGAAAACATTTTCACACGTGCACATAAGTGAGTCTTTAACCCCCGGGATGGCTATTAAACCTCGGCAACCTCAAAAGTTAACCCTTTTTGAGGATTGACCAATGTAACTGTTTATTCATTTTTATTATTATTATTATTTTTTGTTTTTTTTTGGATATTATGTATGTGGAAATATATATATTTTTTTACTTTAATTTATTTATTTTTTTTTATTTCTTTTGTTCTATAAATTTTTACTATTTTTTTCTTCTATTATTTATTTTAGTGACATGTCATAGAAAAATAAAACTTTTTTATTTGTTTCACAAAAAAAAATTAAAAATAAAAATTCATTTAATTTATCTAAACAAATTAGATTCACATAATTTTTAATATGTATTATATGTGTATATTTCTCATAATATTATCATATTATATTTATTTATATTCTTTATTCAATAATGCATGTAAAAAAGTGAACTCAATGTCGTCATTACTTTCCATCCATCATATATTATAATTAATTAATATGTAGTTTTTTTATCGTAAAAAAAACCTTTTTTATTAATATATGTTTATCAAAGGATCATTTTGCGTAACAAAAATATATTTCGTCTTCATCATTTTAATTATAATTATAATAATAGATACAAAAGTAATAAAATAAGAATAAAAATCGTACAAAAACATCACGGATTTGTTTTTTTCTTTATCTTTTTTTCTTCTTCTTCTTCGTAAGTGATAATTACTATATGAAATACAAGACATGAGTTTTGGAGATATTTCAAAAGTTTTTTTTTTATTATTTTTCATTCATAACGGCTAGTTTTAGTTTAAATTTTTCTCGAAGTCGTAAAAAAGAAGCAAAAATTTTCAGCATTCCAAAAACTATTAATTTTATTCGTGATTTTTTTTCGAGCTTTTCGCTTGACTCAAGTTCTTTTGAATCATTAAAAGCTATGAATCGTTTAAAAATTATAATTATCGAATGTACAAACGTCGTTTTTTATCAAAAAAGCTTGTTGTGAAGCGAAAGAATTTTGCATCTTTTACAAAAGTTTTTTCCTCAATTCTGCGTCATATTTTGAAAATTTCATTAAGCCAAAAACTCTTCATTTTAATGCAAAAATCTTTCGCGTCATTTTAAGGAAGCGAAAAATCAATTTAAACTAAAATTTATCCGTTGAATAATCGATTCGAAAATTAATTATATGTTATTGAAACATTTCAATTACACTCATGCGTTATCGAGGAAAACTATAAACTAAAGATAATATTACACATTCTAACCATCAACATTATTTTATTAATTAACGTAAAAATATACATACATAGTAATAATTAATTATGGAAAATTTCTCTGTTTTTCATCATAACAAAAATAAACAAATATCAAAAAATAAAAATTACAAAAAAATTCTTGCGTATAAAAAAAATCGAAAGACTAATAACTTTATGACTATCAACGTGATTCAATTTGACTAAGATAAAGGTAAAGAAATATTTCTAATATAATATATTTTTTTTAAAAAAAGAACAAAATTTCACTATGTATATATAAATAAATATATCATGTATATCAATCAATATATCAGTGTGTTGTCCATATTTTTTTTTCGTCTCATATGTGTTGTGTCTGTATGTATTTTTTAGTGTCTTGGGGTATAAATCCGTTACATTGTAGATCAGCATGTTTCACATTAATTAAGACATCTTAATTGGCGACCAAGAGATGATGCTGATAAGTTGATGGATTTGAATTGTTACCATAGAATGAATTCATGCCGTCCAACAATTTGTTATCAGACTGTTGTTGTTGATTGGAAGTAACCGATGTACCGATTGCTCCGACATTATTAGAGCTTCCATTAGTAATTGTTGTTGACGCCTGTGGTGATGTCGCATTTAATGGTGATTGAGAATTTTGTTGTTGCTGTTGCTGTTGTGACGGAATCTTGCAATAATTTGATTGTTGGTCCATAAAAGATGAACTCTTTCCAGGTGTGAATAATAATGGATCATTATTGCCATTGAACTGATTATAATTTCCATTTCCATTTCCATTTCCATTTCCACTGCCATTCAATCCGTCAAACATGTTACGTGGACTACCAAACGATTGATACATGTTCAAATTATTAAATCCATTTGATGGAAATACGAATGGATTTTGGTGCATGGACGAGTCATTTGTCATTTGTAATGTCATTGGATTTGGTGAGATCGATCGTGCAGGTGAGACAGAGCCAATTGCACCAAACATGTTCTGATGATGATTATTCGATTGATGATGATTGTAATGATTGTTATGTTGCTGCATTTGTTGACGTTGTTTGATATAGTTCGAGAATTCTGTAGGCGACATCCTGCTTTTTATGGCCAAAGCGATAAGACGCAGTAATCGTAGATGAAGAAGAATGGATGAGAAGAAAAAGAAAGAAAAAAATAAAATAAAAATAAAGAAGAAGATAAAATAAATGAGATACGAGATGAGATTGGAAGTTAAATTAAACAAAAAGAAAACAAATTTTCAAGAAAAATTGGAGAAACTTCTGGAAGCTTTCTGTTTTCATCCCTCACCACTATAAAAATGCCCAAAAATCATAAAATTGAGACTATGTGTGCCAATGGATTGTTATTCTAGTGGTAGGAATTATGTGGATTTTTGTTTTGACACAATTCATTGAATTTGACCACAGAATTGGCACTGAATTTTTTCCCATTTTGAAGATTGATTTTAGTAAAATCACTAAGAACTCAAATTCAGGTTTTGAGAATTCATTTGTCCAACAATCTTCATCGGAATACATTAATTTGTTGTCCACACTAAAGTTAAGCAGATAGTATGCTTAAAATCAAGCAGTAGCTGCTTAAAAATGGCAGTCACTTGTTTCTAAGATTAATTTCTGTTTAACAGTCATGAAAACAACATCAAACCGTGTTCCGATCAAAAATCTATGGAGTTAACAAGCACTAGGCTCAACAACCCATTGGCACCCCCCAAAAAATCGAAAAAAAAAATTAGAAATATTAGAAAATTATTCAAGTATAATTAACATCTTAAGGCGATATTTGTGCGCTTTTACTGTATATTATACGATGACGAAAATGATGCGACGAAAAAGTTTTTTGTAGACAGCTATAAAAGCTCTTTCTCTTTTTCTTTTCTTTATACATCTTCTTTTTCCTTTATGCTTTATGAAACAAAAAGAATTATTCTTTTCCTTTATAACATGTACAACACAATTTAGTTATAATATTGTTTTGAGCCTGGCACAAGCTTATGGCGCATATAGTACAAAAAAAAAAATCGATTAATCAATTGAATGATGGAAAAGAAGGAGAACGAGAGGCACGGTAAATAAGGTAGGAGAATAAAATATTCGACATACGCTTATTGTTTCATAAATTCAAGGTTACAATGTTTAAATATGAATAACTATAAATAAGTTTGAAGAAGGTCGAAAATATTGAATGAACGAAATTTTCCTTAATTTTTTGTGATGGAAATTTTTTTTTGTTCTTTGTCTGATTGTTGTTGCTGGAACCGAAGCGATAGAGGCAATTTATTTGATGAGTTCGTTAAGAAGATTTCTTTTAACTTAATTGAATTCTTATGATACGAGATGATTTTCTGTCTTTTGTAGCAATTTTTTGTGTCTCTTGCCTTTCACGCTTCGACAAAACGTAATAATTTGAATATTATAGATAAGATATCAAATTATCTGAGCCGATAAGATTAAGTTTTGTGATTATTGATAAAAAAAGTTAACGTAGATCATGTGCTCGAATTAAAGTCCTCAATAATTATGAAATTGACGCAGATGTTTAGGCTTGAAAAGGTGTGATGAGCAATGTACACAATTGTATTTGCATAAACTCATTATAATTGAGTGCCATGCCTTTGTTTTAACATGACAGATGTTAAGTATGTTTAAGGACTTTATGCATAACTTTGGTTAATTCATTAAAGACCTTTAACTAGTTGGTCATAGATTCAGTTGAGCATTCACATCAATTTCCAACTCTGCTACTGCTTAACAACTTCTATAAACCTTCTAAAAATTTTATGAAAATATTCTGACGAAATTTATTTTTGGAAAGTCAAAAAAAGAAGACATGAAGACTATGGAAAAATTTCACTTTTAAATCCACATCAAAACATTCTTTTAATAGTCTTCGTGTTCGAATAAGTCATTCTAAAGTGATTGATTAGCAGACGCATGTCAATTGTTACGAGATCGACGACAATTGATTGTGATTTCATTTTAACGTCATGTAAATTAGACTAATTCAACGTGACAATAATTCATATATTTTTCTTACGTTTGTTCCTTTTTTTCGAACAACATCGATTAGTCGTATTTTGGTGGCACACAAAAGTCGTACCTTGACAAAAAACACAAGGTATATATGTAGATATGTCTACTGACTGACAAAAAGAAAATGACGATGTAATATTAGACATAGATAGTGTCAAAACATGACGTATTTTTCGTGCTATACGCCATGTGACAGTATCTAATTCATTTTTTTTACGCTACTATATCTCCTCGTAGCGCTCTTGTTGTGTCTCCGTTTACATTACCATTACCTATATCTATCTTTTTTTCGTTCTTCTTCCATTTACTGCGTATTTCACATTACCGCGCAATATTATGTAGTATTGTAGTGTAATATTTAGTGTGTGCGAAGTCTCTCTACTCTTATCTTATCGCACCAATCATACATAACATTATCTTTAAACTGAACTAATTTTTTGTCACTTCTGTTCTACTTTCGCTTATTTTTTCTGTAGAAATGGTGACTTTACAGACACTTTGAGTGATTCTTGAGTATTATGGGATTTCTATTGAAAACTAATCGAATGATTAGCTATGATGGAATTCCGCAATATTAATAGAGACATTTTGAAATTAATTCCTTGCTGCAACTGAGACTTTAAAGGACTTAACATGATTTTCACACAGCTTCTAAGTTGTATTATTAAATCTTCAATTATCTTCGAATTATGTTTTTAAGTTCCTAGTTAACTTCTAATATACACACTAATTGGGACCTCTATAGTAAGCTTAAAGCAATGGTCCTTAAAGGAATACATCCCAATAACCAACTCTCTTTGTCTATGCAAAAAATTTCAAAATCCTCGATTTGAATAATTTTTGACTGCTCTGTTGAGCAAGATTCCCGCTTTGGACGAAACATGACTTGTTTTCAACATTTTTTGACTAGATTGCTTTTTCGTCGGATCTTTAAGTTCTTTTTTCCCAATTGATACTCTGTTGACTTTGTAAATTTATAAATTTTAAATTGACCTTGAAATTCTTTTAAACAAGGTAGTAATTTATTTTAAGTTTTGTGTCTGCAACTTTGTATTTACAAATCTATCAACTGCAACTCCAAGGTTCTTTGAGTATCTTGACTCATTCATCACAAAATAATTAATTTTTATTTCGTCAAAATCGTTCATAGTATAATATATAGAAAAGCGCTTAAATCACCAAGATTTAATAATTTTCCAACCATGCCTTGATCGTTGTGACATAAAATATATAAAACAGAATTGGAGAAAGAACTAACAATGTTGGGAAATAAATTTTGTCGTGTCATATGCAAGGTGGATACCTTCAAAAAGCACCCCCAAAAAAAATCCATAAATTACATCCATACACATACCTGTTGGTGCGTTTCGAATTATTCTTCAATTTTGTGCTGCCGAATTTCGTTTGTGCAAATGTCGCAGTCGTGAAAAGAACTGGCTCTTGTGTACGTCCAAGGAATGTTGCTGATGTTGATGATGAAGTTGTTGTCGTTCCATTATTGCCCGATGGACTATTATTCTTGTACATTGGACTTATCGACGATGTTGGCGACGAGTCATTTGGTGAGCCTTTGGGACTCAATGTTAAACCATTCAATGACGAGTTTAATATCTCTATTGGACGAAAGCATTGGGCTTCTGGATTGAATGTTGATGTTACTTCTCGATCCGCATTATTATCATCAGGCGAATCATGCTTTTGTTCGGAGTAAAGGATCTATAAAAAAGGAAATAAAACAACAATATGAATGTGAATGTATGAATGAGAGAGGACGTAAAAAAAAAGTTCAAGGTTAGCAATTGCATCATCATCATCATTAAGAGAGGATGTACGTGTGCATAGAAGTGGGAAGTAGGAAAAAAATAAAACTATAAATACTTACTTTAACCGCTCCCTTTTCACCGATACGATATGAAACTTCACCTGGATCGACCCATACCGATAATTCGGCTGGTAAGTTCTCTAAAATATCACCAATTGGGACGCCACTTTCGCGAGCTGCAATTTCTAGTACGATATCAATCGGTTCACCTGTTTTGAGGCATCGAAATGCTGAGCCCTGCAGAAATGGATCAAGAGTAAAAAAAAGTATAAGTGATAAGAAGGATAAAGTATATAAAGCGTTAGCAGCAAAAAAAAGGAGGAAAAGTTAAGGAAGACGAAGCATAAAAACCCATTAAATGTGAGCCATGATCATAAATCATAAATCTTTTTCCTCTCTCTCTCTGTCTTGCTCATTCTCTCATTTTTCTAAGTATTTTATTCATTCTCATTTCACATCTATATAGAGCCACATATAGCTCTTTCCTTTTTTCTGGTATTAATGCCACCGCTATTTGCTCATAAACCTCTCACTTGCCTGGGGAATATATAACATAAGCCATTAAATGCCTTCCTTTTCTTCTTTCAAATGTGACAATTTTCTTATTGTTGTTGCTGTAACCATATTTTTTTATATCACATGGAAAATTGTTGTAAATGTGATGAGTGCTAAAAGCCCCTCATTTTTACTTATGACTATGAGCGACCATTATGATGTACTCTTAGTCATATAATATAGACGAATTATGTACATTTGCATTTCGCAAGGAAATGTGCAAAAAAAAGGAACAACGAATTTTTTTTTCATTGCCTCTAATGACGTCAGAACGGAAAAAGTTTTTGCATAAAATGTAAAGAAGAACTCACACATAAAAAAAAGTTTGTTCGTTCTCTTAATTAAAATAAAAATTTATGCATAGATATTATTTTTTTTGTACATTTAATGACTTTGTAGATAATATCTTTTCGTCAGCAGCTCCTACACTTTTGTTCGCATTCTATTATGTTTGTATCTCTAATCTTTTATGACACTAGCGGGAGGGCTTTCATCATTAAATCTCGAGTGAGATTCTGAGAATTTTTATTAGATTCTTGCGGCGAGAAACTTCGAATGTGTTACGCGCTTTTGATGACATTGCCTGAAGGATGATGTTCTAGATAGGAAAGTATAATGGAAGATTTTGTTGCTTGTTGTTTTAAACTTTTGTCCAAAAAAATATGAAAATTATTTCATTCATGATTTTAGGCATGAATGCTCGCTCTAATCGAGTTTGAGTTTTGATGGGAAATTTTCTTTGCTATTCCTTCCACAATGTAGGATGGAACCAAAAATAAAAGTTGTTATTTTACAAGATTTATTGCTCACGAGTTATACATTATGCAGTGAAGAGATTTTGAAATTTGATTGGCATTAAATTAGAATTTCAAACTGGATTTCCTTTCGTTGTATGGAAATTTAAGGAAATTCGATGTTGTTCTTTTCTGGATGGAGCTAATGTGTCTTGAGTTGAATTTTAAAGATTAAAGTTTTATGTTTTGTTTGTTTAATGCTTCTTTAAGCTTTTAAAAAAGCTTTGCAAGCTAGTTTGGTTGGAAAGTTGTTGCAAACCTCTAACAATTGAATTTGAGTTCAAGATGAGAAAGGAAGTAGTGAGTCAATTTAATTTAATTTAAAAAAAATCCAAAATATCTTCAAAAACAGCTATAAATGAACCTAAGTACCCGTACCTTAATGAAAACTGAATAAATGTACTAATGGAATGTTTATTTCATTCATGTCCCTTCCAAATTGAATATTTCTAAGCAACAAATTTAGCTTTGATGTTCATGAGACGAAAATAGGCCAATCACATAAAAAATATATTAAATTTTCATGAAGGAGCCATAAAATTTCATTGACATTTCCTCATAGTCACCTCCCTTGGATACCTCAACTTAAAGTGAAAATTAAGAAGAAAGAAAATATTAGAATCCCCTCTAAATACAACATTTCATCTTATCTCTAGCAGGAGTATGCAATAAAAAGCTCATCCATAAAAAAATGTGAAAGTTTCATTCTTTTTTTCTTGCTCCTTCCTTCATTGATTTTCCTGATAATAAAATGTTCTTTTGATGAGGCTCATTTCACATTCGCATTGAATTTTTATTTCTAGACTAGTGGCTGCCTAGTGGTGCTATTTAATACAATTTTATATATTATCATAATAATTATGAGAATCGTTAAATTCCAAAGCACTTTTCTACATCCATAGACACACATATATAAATAGCAACAACGAAGAATAATGAAGTAGGAAGTTCCATCAATACTGATGAGATTTTCTTTTGCTTTACATTCGCTGCTGCATAAATTTACGAGGAAGAAAGTATAACATAAAAATGAAAAAAATTCAAGGGCAACGCTACACTAATTTCCATTCAAATATTTGTATACAATACATACTCCTGCGTGGTGCCATAATCCATTTGACAGACACACGAAAAAATGTTTACAAATATATATTTAATTTTTTCCAACTCTTTCGTAGCTCATTCGCTTACAATCACGTATAAGGCATACAAAAAAAAAGGAATCAAAGTGAACGGAAGGGCTTGAATGGAATATCAACACAAGAAAAAAAATTTCTATTTATAGATGGAACAAAAAAGTAAAGTTATGAGTTGATATTTTCTCTACCACTATTGTATAGTGTACGTTCCACTGCTTAATCGTCTTATGACAATCACTTAGCTGTTCCGTGCTTTGCTTTTCCCATCCTAACCTTTCGCATTTTATTGCGCATAATTTTGTATTCAACAGAGCGATTCTCATTCATTTTGGTTCATTTGATGGGTGGCATCTGGGTGAAATGTGGCTATAAATTTTATTCCTCAATTCTTGTGGACAGTTTTGACTCGAAATAAAGGCTAATTATTGGAAGGATATTTAGCTGTCTTGTCGAAACTGGAAGTTTACTTTCAACAGCAAGATTGCTTTAATTTTGATGGGCAGTCACTAATTTCTAGGGCTACTTAAAGCAACCTACTCATGAATTGGAAACAACAATTTGGAATATAAACAAATTTTGTATTTGTCCAGTGTACAAATAAGATGTCCCTATTCTTTGAGACACAGACTTAGTCTACTGTCAACATAAGTATCAAATAATCTTCACACATGCCTAGAATCATCAAACATGCGCTGCTGTTGCTCATATTATATAACAACATTTTACTTAAGCGTTTAAATCGATACAGTACAACAACGACTACGATGATGATGGGGGTAATGGATGATGGTGATGACTATAATAAAACATTTTTTTTTCTGCAACTTATTATTTTCTAATTTTGACACAGAATGAAAAAAATAGCATTTTTGTAATAAAGAAACTGCTGGATAAGGAAAGGAAAAAGGAAATTTTTGACATCGTGATACATTAACCACAAATCATAATGAAGCGAGTAGGAAAAGTTGATGAGTAGCTTGTAAAGCATGGGAGCACTTAACTAGGTTAATTACGAAGGATGAAAGCCAACTTGAATTGAATTTTCATCGTGGGAAAGAACTTCATTTGAAAATAAAAATAAATGGAATTATTGTAATTAGAATCGGTTTAATTGAAGGAGTTAAAGGAAGTCTTGAAAGAAAGCAATTATGTTACAATTAGACGTTGACTAAAGATGAATGAAATATGGTTTATTTTTAGTTCCATTCTCAGAAAAGCATTTATAATCTAGCAGCAACGTGCTGTAATAGCTTACGTCAAATGTGTAGTCAAGAACAAGAGTTTCTTAAATGAAATTCCGAGTATAGACTGCCGCAAATAAAAATTCAAAGAAAAAGAAATTTGAGCTACTCTTAAAATTCCATTCCACGTCACTGACTTCAAAAGCCACAAATAATGAAAAGTCCGGTTAAATAATTTGACGGACTCGGATCGAAATGAGATGTAACAACAAGAAAATTTTCCATTGAATGACTTTCTGTAATTCTTGCCAAACTCTTGCACATTAAGGACACGAAAAGAATTTTTTCAATAAATTTCTGGTGTCAAAGATTTTTCACACAACGACCACTGACAGTTCTCTGAACAAGAAAAATGGTTGTTCTTCATGTTATTTGATGTATATCCCTTTTTTATGTATCACAAAACATGGACAGAAAAAGAAGACAAAACATTCATCATTCCAATGGTCAGTCAAAGTGGTTATCTTATCAAACATTCGACCGCAAAAACGTCAATAAAAATCAACCAGACCAAATCAGGGACTGGCAAAATGAGTAAATGAATTGTAAGAGAAAATGAAAAGGAAAAGAATACAATAATAAGAAAGAAAAAAACTTTTGCCCTTGAATTATACGTCCTATAGTATTTTTTTCGCCTTCTTCTTTAGCTGTTTTGCCTCATTCGTATAGCACAAAAATATCGCGCGAATAGCGAATTCAATTTCATTTCTTGCTATTCATACATTTTCTTCACTATGTTCATAGCCATTGCGGCATGAAAAATTCGAAAATTTATGTCTGAATTAAGTGGATAAGGCGCATACTTTATTGCAAATCATGGTTTTGGAAGTAAGGCGCAGTATGGAGTTAAAATCAAAATTCTAACATAAATTGTTCCCAAAAATCAGGTCAAGTCATCCGAAAGTTGAAGATTAGTTATGAAATGTTAAAAAACAACTTGCAAAGGTACAATTCGACATGTCTAACACAGACTCAACTAGACTCGTGACTTTTCCTTTGGTCAACAAACAATTTTCTGCAAAATTGACAAGCTAACAACCAAGCAGATTGACATTCACACAACCAATGATCAAATTGAGGACAAAAGCCACCGCTTCCAAGAAATGTAATAAAGACAAGAAAGAAAACATTAAGGCCTTCGTGTAGTACAAATATTGCTATGGAATAAGTCAAAAAGAAGTTTGTTCTCCTTGACATGAAGGGATGGACAAAAGGCATTATTGATGATGAAGAAGAAGAAGTTGACGTGTATCGATTATTGAATACATTTAATGCCTTTTTTTTTTAGAAAATTGTTTACTCACTCCGCTTATTCTTTGATCTCATCCAGCGTAAATCGCCTGGATTGAAAAATTAATTAACGAAATGACATCGAAAGATTTAATTATAATAAGTTTTTTTAGCTAAAAGCTATTATGTCGTCAAGCTTCTATTGTTTAACAAGAAAATGAGTACGAAAAAAAGACTTCCTTTTGTGGTTTATTATATTACTGTAATTAATAGAAAAT